CAGAGTCCATGTCCATGCCCTTGTCATAGCTACAAGAGACACTGGGAAAGAAGAGTCTCTGGTTTCTCACTCCAAGAGGCAGGACTCAGAGTGGGAAATTCTCCAACAGGGGAGTGGTGTCCAAGAGACGTGGGTGGCCAGAAAGCTTGCTAGTGTTCTCTAGGCAGTGAGGGGCACCTGCCTGTAGGACTGCACTGATGGTGGTGGATGTGGAGATGTCTATCTCATTGGCAGCTACCATGGAGGGCATGTTGTCTCCCTGGGGGGAACTGGGGGCTCATGTATCCAGGCAGGGTGAGGCAGGCATGGAGGATGAGGTGGCTGAATCCAGGCACAGCAGAGCCCCATTGGTAAGCAGGTGAGATATACCCTTGGCATTTTCTCACCTGCAGCCCACCTTCTGCCAGGGAACTGTGCAGAACTGCTGGAGGAGGGCTAACAAAGCTGGGGGGACAGCAGGAACACCCCTTTCCAGGTGTGTCTGCTGATTAAAAAGGGATGCAAAGTGAGGAAATGAAATCGGATCTGAAGGTGCGAGGCAGGGCAGCCTGGCTGTGCAGATGTTCCAACCAACCTGCTCACCGAGGGTATTTCTGTTCACCCACTGCCTGTGTTCCCATCCTGCCAAGGCCATAAAGACAAGAACACTCCCTCCTGGATCTCTAGAGGTGAAAAATACTCGTGCTGAAATATCAAGCACCTGGTAGGGAATGGGGGTTTGAGGGTAAGGCAACCCCCTTGCCTTGTCCCGGGCTGGGCTGTCAGTCATTCATTCCACCCCAGCATCACAGAGGTGGGGTCCATCTCCCCCACACCACCACCCATAGCCCCCTACTCTAGATCCTTCCCCACACATGCCCAGGCAACCTCCTGGTGAGAATGACACCTGAGTTCCATTTATCTTTGTGGCTTTTGGCTAAAGGGATCCACACGCAGCAGGCAGGTTCATGAGCCTAATCGGGCCTGATGCATCTCTAACCAGACAGGGAGTGCGTGTCTGGATTTGTCACCGGACAGGTACAGATGTTGGAGGCTCTCATCCATGAGACGGAATCACTCTTGGGGATTGAGAGGCTTAGGCGGTGTCAGTCAGAGACAGTGCACACATCTCAAACTGGGACAGAGGCTGCCGGCAAAGCCCTCTTCAACCCACTGGAGTCAGCAGCCCAGGGCTTCATAAACCAAGTTATGAGAGCAGAGCTGAGAATTTGTAAGGTGCCTCCTTTTTAAAGCCTTTCACTTCACCTCCTCTCTCTCAGCTAGCGAGTCTTTCCAGGGCAACACAGGTAAAGGGATGAACAAAGTCTCAGAAATAGAGCATCTGGGTTGAAACCAGCTCCACTCTCTACTAGCTGAGGGGCCTTGGGCAAGTCACTTACCTGCTCCTGGTCCCAGGTAATGCATGTCGCCCGTGGGCTTGCTGTAAGCGGTGAGTGGGATTCTCTAGGCAGCCGCTCCGTCTCTCATGCTCCTGTAGCACTTCATTCCTCCCTATTAGGCAGAAACTGTCTAGCACTGGACATATTACTTAACCTCTCTGAGACCCATTTAGTGCCTGTCTACAATGGAGAACCGTGACAGTGCCTACTTGGTCGGGCTGTCAAGAGGGTTCATACCTGCAAAGCCTCCTGACAGCCTGGTGCATGGCGAGCCCTCAAGAAATGGTGGTGGTGGTTTTTGGTGGTGGTGGTGGTGGGTACTCCAGCATCCCCCTTTTCGGGATGGAAGTTTCCTTGTCTTGCTTCTCTTGCCAGCCAGGGAATGGATCGGGGCAGGGTCTCTATCCAGCCTGCATCCTGGCAAGCAGCCGACATTCAATAAATCTACGTTTGATAAATTAGTGAAAGAGACGATGCCATACAAAGACAACACACCACCGCAATGCTGCATGGTGACTCTGGGTATCTGCAAGACCCCTGTGGCCTCTTGTCCACTGTGAGGACTTGGGCAAGAGACTGCACTTCTATGAGCCTCAGTTTTCCCATCTGTGATGTGAAGATATATGATATTGAGATATAGTAGAAATACATACATATATATATATATATATATGTCTTATCCCTAGTTTCTTGGCATGCAGCTCCTAAAACCCGTGGGATCTCCAGAAGTGATAAGTCTTTGTGTATGTTAATGAAATGACTGGTGTCTGGGGGCTCCTGGATAGCCTGGGATTGGGGGACTGGTTGCCAGGGGAACCAACCACATGATCAGAGGGTTGAAATGTTCAGCCTCACTTCGCAGAAGGGGAGAGGGGCTGGAGATTGATTTAATCATCAATGGCCAATGAGGTGATCAATCATGCCCACATAATGGAGCAAAACACCCAAAAAGATGAAGTTTGGAGAGCTTCCAGGTTGCGAACACATCGAGGTGCTGGGAGCATGTGTGCCCCACCCCACCCACATACCTTGCCCTGTGCATCTCTTCCTTCTGGCTGCTCCTGAGTGGTGTCCTTTTATAATAAACTGGTGGTGAAGTAAGTAAGCTGCTTTCCCGAGTTCTGTGAGCTGTTCTAGCAAATAATTGAACATGAGGAGAGGGTCTTAGGAACCTCTTATAGCCAGTTGGTCAGAAGCACAGATGGCAGCCTGGACTTGTGATTGGAGTCTGGAGTGGGGGCAGTCTTGTGGGACAGTCTTTTAAGCTGTGAAGTCTGCACTAACTCTAGGAAGTTAGCATCAGAATGGAGTTAAATTGCAGGACACCAAATCACTGTTCACTGAAAATTAGAGAATTACTTGGTGTGGGGAAAAACACTCCCTACACAGTTGGTGGTCAAAAGTATTAATGTAGTTGGTGTAGAGAAATAAAGTTTGTTTTTCTTATTCAGGATAACAGCCCCACCTCAGAGAATGGGTTTAGATGATGTCTCCAAAGCATCCAGTACAATTCTGGGCTTATGGTGGATGCTTAAAAAGTGGTGGCTGGCAGCTGTCCCCTGGAAGCCAGCCTAGAAAACTGGTGACCTTAACCAAGAATCTCCCACCTCTCCTCGCCTAGGTCTCACCTCCCCTTCCTGCTGCCCTGCTGTAGTCCAAAATGACCACCGCCCACCCCCAACCCCCAAGAGCCTCAGTCAACTGGAGTCTTGTGAGGGTGGCTGTAAATAAAATAATTCCCACGAGGTGTGATTCATAAGTTCTACCTTTCCCAGGCTACTTGCATATATAAGAAAGAAGTTTGGAGATGGCACTATTTGCAAGTTAGCAAGCTAGAACCATAGGGAGTGATGAGGACTGGAGAGAATTCGAGAACAGTGTATTCGAAATTGTTAAACAGTACGTTGGCAAAACAAAACATTTGGTTATGGGTCCCAGTTTGCAACCTCCAAGACAAAAGTGGGCTGGAAGGGTGAAATTCTAAGCTGAGAGTTAATCAGGACCAGAGTAGCCACACTTCCCCTTCAGATCATTCCGCATCCATTGGGTGCGGCTCTGAGTCTCTAAAACCTGAGAAACGCCACAGCTAGGAGCCTTTCCTCTCCTCGTTGATTCAAGGAAGTCCAAGAGCCAGGGACGGTGCCCCTCACACTGCCGGGAAGGCCTGACACTCTCTCTCCCCATGGCGCAAGTTGAGGCCAATCCGCTCCTTATTTAGAAAGAGCTGGGACTTAAATGTCAGTGGATGATATGGGAGCAGCATGACAATTACCAGCTTAAACTGAAATAAAGGAAAGAAGGATTAAAAAATGCCCAGCACCCATCAAGCCAGGCCAGAAGAGAAGAGCGAAGCCCTCTGTTTCTACATTAACTCCTCATCAGCGAGGCGCAGGTCAGAAGGGTGGCTGGGGAGGAAGCTGGGGAGGGGAGAGTGGGTGGGAAGCTGAAGGAAGGTCAGAGGTGGTGCTGACTTGGGCTCCCACACTCTCAAGGAGGGGACCCAGAAGGCCCCCTGCTCCTTTTGGCAGTACACTCAGGGGTTGGTTGGACCTGTGGTTCCAAACTAGGCAGACTGAGTTCAAATCCCAGCTCCTCCACTAACTAGCTCTGTGATTGTCCCAACTTCCTCAACCTCTCTGAGTTTCAGTTTCCTCATTTAGACCAGTGGGATGATGATAATTCCTCTTAAGATTAAATGGGGTAGTGCCTGTATGTCACTGGGCATGCAGCGATACTCAGCAAATGATGCCTCTGCCAGTCAGATGCAGTCAGGAGCTAAGAGCCAGGTACAGCGCAGATCACGCCTAATTCCATTACCCCCAGTCGTTGAGCTGCAGATAGTCTCTTTTATTTTAATCTTTCTGTAGGGGGAATGTGTGGTGCTCAGATGTAGGTCCAGCAGGAACTTGGCACCTTTGCAGCAGCCTCAGCCTCTCCTTTCTCTTGGGTGCAGGGCTCAGCTGGGCAGGCGCTCCAGGACCAAGGCCTGGGCCCTCATCTTGGAGCCCCTCTGGGTTGCTGCAGCATCTCCTCTTTTCAGGGTGAACTGCTCTGGGGGCTGGGCGATGGTGGAGATGCACCCCACAGGGCCAAGACAGCCTGGGCACTTTCCCCAGGAAATTCTTGACACTCTGCACTTTTCCACTTGGCCTCCTTTAAAGGGACTGCTCATATCTGGCCTCCCCTGGATGTACTAGAATTGGCCCCACAGGCTGACCCAGCTGGACCCCAGGCTCTGGGTGAGCGGTGGCCTGGATTTGTTTACCCATCTCCTTCAACTCTCTACAGGGGAGCAGCCCTTGGTTTCTGAACAGGGGCAGTTCTAGGTCACCTTTGAAAGGACCTGCTGGGATTTCTGCAATGCTCCCCTCCGGCATCCACAGCGGGTCACTGAAGCCCAGCTGATGGTCTGTCCCTGCCTATCCTGAGAGCCTCTGCCCCTGAAGCTGGCAGTTTTTCTCAACCACATCACATCCTCATCACAGCCACCAGGGTCAGAGTCTTCTTTGGCCTCTGAATCAGGCCCAGGCTCCTCCTTTGTTCAGCCCAGCATCCACCTGTCCCAGCCGTGTCCTATATATCAATCAGCATTCTGTGTAGAAAGCAGAAACGCCCAAAGGATCCAGCAGAAAGAGATTTAATAAGGGAAATAGTGACTTACAGAGTGATCAGAGGTCCTAGACAAATGAAGGTCAGGACCACTGCTAGGCTTTAGGCTTAAGGTCACATCCCCACAGCTGTGAGCCTGAGACCAGGAGACAGCTGCTGCCCCTGCAAGGACCACTGGTGTGGCTCCAGCTGCCCTGCATTCAGGAAGCTGGTGACAAGACCGTGGATATACCAGTTGCTGCAAATCCTCACGTTGGCAGGAGCCCGCGGACCGTCCAACACACTGCAGAGGAACGCCTCTGCTCTCTGCCACTGTCCAGAGCTCATGGAAATGCCTCTTGTTGGCAAAACCGAAACTGCAGCCAGATCCAAACAGCAAGAAACTCTGGGAAATGTCATTTTTGTCCTGCTAGCCCCTGTGATACAGAAGGAACATAAAGGGTATGAAACAATGCTAAGTGCTGGTAGACAATACCCAGCACAGCCCAGAACTCACTCAGACCCCAGCTGGCCCGCAGTCCCGGCCTGCTGTAGCCCCACCCAAGCCTATGGCTGGTGCTGACTCCTGCCTCTGCTGCATCGCCCCACACAGCCTCTGTGCCTTCGACAGGTGGAGGACTGGCCCCCTCCATTCCCCAGCCCACACCCAGCTCCTTCAGCTAAGGTCCTCCTAACCCCAGCATAGCTCCCGGGCCTTCCTGGGGCCTTTTTGGGATGGAACCAATCCAAAGGCTGGCTCCGCTGGAGGCTGGCTTGGGACTCAGATGCCTGTGCTCTAGCTGTGAACACAGAATGTCTGTGAGCCACATTCCCAGAGTACATTGACCTGGGGGTCTCGTCCAGCTGTGAGGTTCTGAGATTTGTAAGTATCTTTCTTTATAAGCAGAGTGGACACGGACACACACACACACACAGTCCTCAGGGAGCTACAGCTTTGCTGAGTCAACCCAGAGTCACTGTCCAACTCTCCTCTGGAAACGTGGGCAGAAATAGGTGCTGAGGGAGGAGGGGTGGCTGAAGCAGAAGGCTGAAGCACATCCCCCACCACTGACTTCTGGCTTGAGTGGGCTGGGAAAACCCGCGGGGGACAGGCTTGGGGAGGACAGAGGAGGCTGGGGCGAGAGACGTGGTAAGGGCAGAAGTGAAGCACTCAGGCCACACGAGAGGAAAAGCTACTGTCTGTGCTGAGCTGGACCTAGGGGCTCAGCCCCCAGCCTCCCTGCTGTCCCCTGCTTAGCATCGTCTCAACTAGACCTCTCCCAAAGCAAAGCTACAGCCATGCCAATGACCTTGAGCTGCACATTCAGCTTAATCCGCATCAGTGTCAGAGTGAAGGCCTTGCTGTCAGTCCAGGATATTTATAACCCGCTTGCCAGGTCCCACTACCTGGCGGCCGCCAGGAAACTAGGCCACAGGAGCCACAGAGGAGGCAAGCCCTCCCCCAACCCCAATCCCAGCCTCAGACGGCTCTTCCGTGGCTGTTGGCACCCGCCCTGGCCGTGTGCCTCCTCCCCATGTCCCTGCTCCCTGCTGGTGATCAAAACCCGCCAGAGTTCCCAATGCCTGGGGGCATGTCCACAGGCCTGAGTACAATGTCCATGGCTTCCACTTACCACTGTCTTCCCTGCCCACTCCTTGTGGCCATGTGGTGTGGTCACGAAGGTTCCGCCTGCCTGGGGTCAGGTGCCGGTTCCACTGTTCTCTGTGTTGACCTCAATAATCTTGTGTGACTTTTCTGTGTCTCAGTTTTCTTATCTGTAAAATGGAATTAATAATGAAGACTCCATGAATAAAAGGCTCAGAATGGTGCCTGACACATCGTAAGGGCTCAGTGTGTGCCAGCTTATCTAGAAAGGTCTATCAGATAGCAGCAGAAGCCCCAGGGCCAGGCTGTTCAGGTTCAAATCCTGGTTTGGCCACTCACTGGCTCTGTGACCTTGTGCCCATTAATTATCCGCTCTGGGCCTTAGTTTCTTCCCATGATATGGTTTGGATGTTTGTCCCCTCCATATCTCATGTTGAAATGGGATCCCCAATGTTGGCAGTGGGGCCTGGTGGGAGGTGTTTGGGTCATGGGGGCGGATCTCTCACCAATGGCCTGGTGCCCTTCTTGTGGTAGTGAGTGAGTACTCGCTCTGAGTGCTTGCGAGATCTGGTTGTTTAATAGCACGTGGGACCTTCCCCTTCTCTCTCGCTCCCTCTCTCGCCGTGTGACACACCTGTTCCTGCTTCATCTTCCACCAAGAGTAAAAGCTTCCTGAGGTCTCACCAGGAGCAGATACTGGGCCATGCTTCCTGTGCAGCCTACAGAACTGTGAGCAGATTAAACTTTTTTTGTTTTTAAATAAATTACTCAGCCTCAGGTATTCCTTTATAGCAACACAAAAACCAAGTAAAATCAGAAATGATAATAGTATCTACCTCATGGAAGTGTAAGGATTAAATAAGCTAATCTGTAAAGCTCTGAGAATGGTGCCTGGCACACAGTAGGTGGTCAATTAATATTAGCTCTGATAATGATAATGATTAGCATCATCATCATCATCGTTTATTCTGGAATGATTTTCTCCCAGCCAGGCTGCCCTCTCTTCTTCTTGCCTCCACACTTTAGCTGACACAAACGTTCCCCTTACACACACTCTCTCTTCTTCCCTCCCAATTCAAACTTTGCGTTTCTTTCAAGCCTTACCTCCTCTATGCAGCCTTCCTTGACCATTTTGGTGAGCTTTGCACTGTCTTCCTCACCCAAACCACCTTAGACCAGATCCCCCACGTGATTCCCGTGAGTAAACCTAGACTCCAGACCCTGAAGGCAGAGGCTCTGCCAAGCCCACTTCTCCTTCCTGCTTTATGCTGAGCTAACAGCGGTGAGATCAAAGATGTTGTGGATCAGACGTGTCCTTGTTGAGTGTCCAGGGCCCTCCACTCTGGGCAGGGGTCTGATTCCTGGGATGAGGGTACAGTGTGTCCTGGCCCTCAAGAGACAGGTGTGTGTGTGGGCGTGCGCGCGCACGCCCACACACACACCTACACGCTTGTGACCTGTAAAGTAAAACCTAGTCATTTCCCCAGAAATAATCCCACATTCTGGCCACTGACCACCAAAATGCATTTTTTCCCAATCCCAGTCATTTTCTGGATGTTCTCAGTTTGAGAGAGGACCAGGCCTGTATGCTGTGTCCTAGGGGTGGACCCGAAACCCTTCCCCACCAGAAAAGGGCAGGTAGGAAAATGTCTTCCTCGGACACCCAGGCACAACAAGCCCAGGGACACAGGGCTCAACACGGGGGGAGGGCAGAGGGGGCGGGCGCGAGGATCTGGCTCAAACACCACAGTCCTTTCCTTGAGGAAGAAAGCAGCACTCCAGTGTCACTGTGTTCCCCGTATTGAAGGGCCTAATAAACAGCAGGTCAGCCCAGCAGGTCAGTGGTTCTGACCTGGCACTGTGGCTGTGTCCGGCACTCTCAGCCTCGGCCAGTCAGAGGCTTGCTGACACTGCCTCCTTCCTCCCCTCCTCCCCACAGGCCTATCACTGCGGAGAGCTCTCCTCCAACCTCCTCCACTGCCTCCCCAGCAATTTCCTCTCCTCTCAGGGGCGGCCTGGCCAGGATCAATGTTGCTCAACCTACAGGGGCTGCCTTTGGTGGGAGCCCCCCTTTTTCCTATGTGCTGGGGGAAAGGGTGGGGGATAGGAAAGGGGCTCAGCAGGGTTGGGGAGGGGTCCTTCCTCGGTACTCATTGTCCCCTCTGGGGGTTGAGGGCGGTTACAAAATGGATGAGGATGGGAAGAGGCCCTCCTGCAGTGCCCTATGCTTGGCCCTCAGGCTGTCCCCTTACCCATCTTCCCACTCTAGTCTAAGAGCACCTAAAAAGGAGTCTCACTGTAGCTCTCATGACCCATAACTGAAAATTAATCCCCTCCACGTCCTTTCTAAGTTATCCCAGAGAATATGACATGTCAAAAGCACATTTGTCTAATGGAAGGACCCCAGGCCAGGGGATAGGGGCGTTGGGGAGAGAAGCCTTAAAAAATCCAGCCAAGCATCTGTGGTTTGTGCTCCATGTAAAGTGAAATGTGGGCATTTCTTCCACTAAACGGCATGGGAATAAGTGTAGTGATACTAGCTGGCATTTATACAGCACACTACAGTTACAAGATCCTTGCCCCACCCTCTCAGTTTGTTACCCTTCTGCATTGCAATAGAGCAAGGGAAGGCTGTTGAACCCCCTTTGACGTGGAAGGAAACAGAGCCTCAGAGCAGCTAGGAAGGGGGGATCAGAGGCTGTTTGTGCCCCACCTAGATGTCCTTTACCAACTGGGCACTCACTCCAGGCTGCTGCAGTGTTGGCTGCTAATAGCTCATAACTATACCCTTCTCCTCCACATCGCCTTAGCCAGCAGGAGCCACTTCCCTGGGAGATGCTTTGGAGGTTAAGCCCTCTACCGTAGCCCCTTCTCCGGGAATAACCTTTAGCTAAGGCCTGACTGCTGTAGCGACAGAAACACCACCCTCTTGTCTTCAGGTAGAACAAACTCCATGCGCTGTACATGCCCCAAAGCCCCTGTGGGTTTGGCCCAGCTAGACCTCCCCTGAAGTGGCATCTTTGTCTGGACCCTTCTGCTGCTCCATCATGCCCTACAATCCCTCCCAGCTTCTCTGCAAGCACTCACTCAACAAACCACACGCTGGAATATCCTCTCAAACCCTGCTTCTAGGGAACCAGACAGAGGGCTAGTACACAGGGCTTCAGATCCTGAATCCGGATGTTCCTGAGACAGTCTGGTTCCTAAGCATCCTGTGGGTGTCTGTTGTGGTGAGAACCTTGCTTTCTTCCAGGACCTCAGCTCCCTCCCTCTCCTCCTGCCAGGGCAGAAGCTGGTTCTTAACACTTTGACCGTGAACTGAGGGATGAAGCTGCCCAAAGCCCCCGGCACCTCCCAAACCCCACTGAAAGCTCCCTCTCTCCCGCTCCCACCCCGGCTGTGTTAGCCAACACCATGACTCAGGCCCCATCCCCACAGCCCTCCACGGGCCCCCAGATTGCTACCCAGTGCCCTGGCATGTTAAGCAGTACAGATGGCAATTAACTGCGTGACAGGAAAATAGCCCGACACTAATTACTTCAGGGACAAGGCCGGGGACCATTAATAAGTGATGAAGGAGTCTTTCCAGAGGCTCTTTGGCTGGCCCCTGCACCAGCCTGCAGAAGGCTGGAGACTGATGAGGACCCTTCCCCACGCAGAGCTCAGTGGTGTGGGTGGGCAGTGAGACAAGTGTCAGTGCCGAGGGAGATGCCACACATTTTCCAGGGGAAGTCAAGCCGCTCTCCCCAGCAGTTAAATTGACAACTGTTAAGGAGACAGTCCTCATCCTTCAGACAGGCAGAAAGCAAACAACAGTGGTTCCCTGGATCTTCTCTGATGAATAATTGATTGTAGAATGCAATCTCATGAATGAATTCCGGAAGAATCCCCAGTCAGCCCCTTCTACACTCTCACATCTGCCTCCCCTTCCCTGGCCCAATCCAAGAGGCAGGCACAATTTCCATTTTCCTGAAATGATTCTGTTTCCTCTGTGCCTGCTTCTAACGTGGCCCCCGGGACAACTCCCACAAGGAGCAGCAGTCAGAGGCCAGGAACGAAGGATGGCATGCCCAGATGGAGGGCTGAACCATGCCGGGTCAGCCCTGGGCTTTGACAGTGTCTCTCTCCAGCAGCGTATCACAGCAAGGCAGGGAGAGGAGAAAAGCGTCGTACATTCAAAAACCCTTTCATGTGCCAGAGTGAATGCAAATGCAGACACTCTCACACTCACATGTACACACTGACACACATACCCACTCTCGCACCCACGCTGACACACACATGCACAGACACACTCAACACACATGCACACTGACACACTCACACATACACACACACTCTTGCATACACACCAACACATTCACACATGCACACTGACACACTTATATATACATGTGGACTGACACATACTCATGCACACCGACACACACTGACACACAATTGCTCTTGCGTATACATTCACACTGACATACATATGTACTGACACACTCTTACACAGACACACACACAGATGCACACCCACACATACACTGACACACACTGACACACACTGACAAACTCGTACACTGACACACACATACATATGCACTGACACACACACATTCAGTTACACTGACACACTAACAAACACATGCACACTGACACGTACACTGACACACATACACACATACAGTGACACACATACACACTGACACACAAATATGCACTGACACATGCTCACATTCACATAGCCTCACACACACACACACACTGATACACACATACTGACAACACACACACACTGACACATTCTTCCTCACACACCCTCTCACACTCAGATGTACGCACTGACACCCACACAGGCACACATACACACACTGACACACATATGCATATGCAGTGACACATGCTGACACACATATACACACTGACACACACACATGCACACGGATACACACTCCTACACATACGTGCACACTGACACACTCTCATTCTCCCTCACACACATTCACACTCTCACACTGACCATATACTCACACTCACACATTCTCACACACACACTCTCACACACACGTACACACTGACACACAAGCCCTTTCTCTCTCACACACACACACACCCCCACTTGAACAGACAGGGGCTCCCATACTTTAAGAGCCGAAGTAGGCCGGGCGCGGTGGCTCACCCCTGT